CTGGGTCAGAGCCCCGGGAAGGTTGCCGTGGCCAGTCTCGGCTCAGACGTGGGCATGACAAGCGGGGCCAACCACGGACGAACACAGCTTCTCAGGACGGGGGAGGAAGCGGGTGAAATGCATGCCACAAGCCCACGCTCCCATTTCTCCACCAGGGGAGCCTGAGCCAGAGGACACGCCCACCTGCGAGAGAGGATGGACGGACAGACAGACCTGGTTCCTCAGTGACGGCACCGAAGGGCTGCATGAACCAAACCTGCACCCACTGCCCTTGAGACGCATCATATGCAAGAGCCTTTCTGTCTGTTCCCCACCCGTCACGGTAACAGCGGAGACGAGCCAGGCTGTGCGCTTCCCGTGACGGCACAGCTGCCCCCTCGCGGGGCCTCAGGCTGCTCTGCTTCCCTCTCTGTGTCTCGCACAGAGGAGGACGCACCAGACAGGACTCAGCATGAAGCTCTGTTAGCTGAGGACACACTTCCCAAGGACAGTGCTCCAAGGAGTGAACTGGTGACGTCGGTGACAGGAGCACGTCTGCCCTGAGGGTCAGGCTGACTTCTGGGACGTGAGTCTCTGAAGCCCCTCCCGCCACGTGATGGTGTGTCACACGTCCCGTCTGGCCGGAGCCGACCGCTCCCAGGCCCTCCCCGCTCAGGCACGCACAGAGCCTCGGCCATAGCCCCGCCGCCCGTCACCCTGGGCACTCCCCCTCCTCTCCCAGCGACCAACCCTGGCCAAGGACAGCTGGGGTTTTTCAGGGTAGAAGCGGGGTTTTCAGCTTTGACTCCTAAGAAGAACGCGAGGCAGCCCCGCGTGTGGGGACAGGGGAGGGCAGCCCCGTGTGGGGACAGGGGAGGGCAGCCCCGTGTGGGGACAGGGGAGGGCAGCCTCGTGGGGGGACAGGGGAGGGCAGCCTCGTTGGGGACAGGGGAGGGCAGCCTCGTGGGGGGACAGGGGAGGGCAGCCTCGTTGGGGACAGGGGAGGGCAGCCTCGTGGGGGGACAGGGGAGGGCAGCCTCGTTGGGGACAGGGGAGGGCAGCCTCGTGGGGGGACAGGGGAGGGCAGCCTCGTTGGGGACAGGGGAGGGCAGCCTCGTGGGGGGACAGGGGAGGGCAGCCTCGTTGGGGACAGGGGAGGGCAGCCTCGTGGGGGGACAGGGGAGGGCAGCCTCGTTGGGGACAGGGGAGGGCAGCCTCGTGGGGGGACAGGGGAGGGCAGCCTCGTTGGGGACAGGGGAGGGCAGCCTCGTGGGGGGACAGGGGAGGGCAGCCTCGTTGGGGACAGGGGAGGGCAGCCTCGTGGGGGGACAGGGGAGGGCAGCCTCGTTGGGGACAGGGGAGGGCAGCCTCGTGGGGGGACAGGGGAGGGCAGCCTCGTTGGGGACAGGGGAGGGCAGCCTCGTTGGGGACAGGGGAGGGCAGCCCCACGCGTGGGGATGGGGAGGGCAGCCCCGTTGGGGACAGGGGACCTGCGCGTCTGGGAGCACAGCCAGGAGCGGGCCAGCAGCTGAGTCTGAGGTGCTGTGACCCCTAGCGAACCAGCCTCGGGGCCCTTGCTTGACACTCCTTTTCATACAAAATGACAAGTGGGCGCACTCCGGGCCTGCGGGGCGACCCCCGGGCAGCTGCACTGCGGATGCCGGATGCCGTCACAGTGCAACCCCAGGCCACAGCCCGACACGTCACCGAGGGCCACTCCCCTCTGTCCCGGGGAGCTGGGCTGACTGTTCCTGACGGGTGGTGATGTGAAGGGCAGGCAGCCCGGGTCGTCAGGCCGGAGGTACTCACAGGTCGAACACCAGGTAGTGGAAGCCCTCCTCGGAGATGCTGTCATGCAGCCGCACTGGGGAGAGAGAGAAGGCAGTGTTACCGGTGCGGGCGGCCCCAGCTCCTCCCTGCCCAGCACCCTGCCCAGCGCAGGGCTCACACAGCCACGCGGGAGGATCGGCCCTTACTGCTACCTGTGTGGTCACAGTCAGCCGAACTCGCCTGTAATGACCTGGTGCCTGCCCTGAGGACGGCTGGAAGGTGAGGGAGGGGAGTGACCAGTGGACGGAGTTACGACGTCTGCCAGGGCTCCAGAGTGCGCCCCCAGGCCACGCTGTCCACACCAGCCAGGGCCCCCCCCCGCGCCTGCACCCGCAACAGGCCGGCAGGACCACTGTGCGCGGCTCCCTCTATTTTTAATCCTCCCCCGAGGATATGTGCTTTCATTGATTCTATAGCGGAAAGGAGGGGAGGAGAGACACGCCCCTCGGCTGCCTCCCGCATGCACCCCGACCAGGGTCACCCCGCACCCGGGTACGAGCCTCGCCCGGAACAGGCCCGAGCCCCGGTGCGCAGGACGATGCTCTGCCCACTGAGGACCGGCCAGGACGGTGAGCTCTGGTCCGGGGTCTCTGCCTCTGCACCCCTTTCCTGGGGAACCCCAACACAGCACTCCCTGGCCGGCCTGTCCTCTGTGCTTATGATGTTGCTGCTTCTAAACTCACACCACTTACCAAGTTAGAAGCCAAAAATGTGCATAAAACAATCGACTAGCTCCTCAAACCAGCACGGCCTCCAGGCTCCAGGGGCGAGGCTTTTACCGACAACGAGCCCGAGCACATGTCTCTCCTCCGAGCAGAGAGCGGAGAGCACGCGGCGCCTCCGGAGCCTCTGTAGTTAACACGCGAGAACTCACACAGCGCCCCCCAGAGGTCAGCCTCCTGATGACACACTGCCTGCGTGGCGAGGCCGTCGCTGGCGGCTGCAGGGGCAGGATAAGCGGCTGCCTCCTGGGACCTGCTTCTGAGCAGCCAGGACCAGACACGATGCACCACGGCCCGTCCTTAGCGTGTTCTCCACGCGGTGATGGCTGCCACGTGGGAAACGTGGACTCAGAGAACCGTGAACGGTCACACCGACTACCACCACCTGTGAGGGACTTCGCAGCACATGCTCCTCCCAGGCCCAGACCCAATGCAAAGCCATCCTTTAATTCAATTTGTTTTGTTTTGAAAATCCTCGCAGAGGACTTTTTCCCATTGCTTTTCAGAGAGTTGGACGGAAGGAAGGGTTGAGGGGTAGAGATAGAGAGAAAGAGAAACATTGATGTGAGGGAGACACATTGACTAGGTGCCTCCTGCACACGCTCTGACCAGGGGCGGGAGTGAATCTGTTACCCGGGAAGGTGCCCTTGTCCGGGAATAAAGCCTGCGACCCTTCGGTGTGCGGCCGACACTAACCACTGCACCACAGCGTCCAGGGCCGAAGTCCATTCCTGAAGTCCAATGCCAAGCCCTTCAGACATCGTCCTGGCC